AAGGGAGAAGAGATCACACGAGCAGTGATCTCCATTTTACCTGAGAGTTTGCGTGTGTGCCTTGAGAGAATGGCCTGGGTCCCTCAATCCTAGACCTCAAGAGTGACTGTGAGCTAAAAATGGCATCTCTAGAATCTTTCCTAACTTTCAGATGTCTTCATTTTAGCCCGAGGAACTAATTTACTCTGATACTAACAAAAACATGGTAGAAGATCTAAGGAACAGGTAAAGTATTCTTTTTGTGAATCTCTTGTTCAGTCACCTTTCAGTCTTGTAACTCAGGCTTCCAAAATACCCATTAGGTTCAGCAGTATAAGTATGGAAAGGAAGATTGCAATGATTAGCTCAATTGAACCATCTGTCTCTTTGTACAAACATTGAAAAGGACCCCCCTTTACCATCCAAGGGCACCCCCCTGAAAGGACACTCTAAAGTTACCTCTGGGTAGGTCATTGGGAAAATAGAGGAGAACAGAAAAGAAATAGTCCAGACTCAATCCTCAACAGGAGAGGACTGTTTATTGAGCAACAGTGATTTGGACATTGAGGAACATGGATTTGGAGGTTGTGCAAGGGACTGGATTTTGGAGTGTGCTTATATAGGGCTTAACAAGGAAACAGAGAATAAAAAATGGGCTATGATCACCTTGGGATCTAGGGTGATGTCTTTGGCCAGGCCCATACTGGAAGCTAAGTTGTGGGGGTTATTGTCTCCTGGGGGTCAAGGTCAGAATGACCTGCCTGATGACAAGCACCTGAGCACACACCTGTGCTTTGCTTGACACAAGGGAATAAGGCAGGACTCAATCCTTCATAGGTAGTGATTGGAAATTCTCAAGATAGATGCCTGTTGAGCCTTGTGATCATGGCAATATAGTAGCTAAAATTTCCTGAAAGTATGTGCCACAGAGGCATGGTTAAAAACCTCCCACCCAGGTGGGTGCCAGCAATATTGTCACTTCTGGGGGTGTCCCATGTCCCCAAATCCATACACTCAGTGCCTTAATCTCAAGCTCAAATGGTCACAGACTTTGTAGTAGGCCTCCTTCCACTCCCAAAGAGAATCTTCTGGGTCTGACTGCCTGTGGCAACTCATGTTTACACAGATGGCCAGCATGTCCCCTCCCCCACAGCCCCACTCCTTATTTTCCAAGTCTTCACCAAAAGAGAGAGAGAGAGAGAAAGAGAGAGAGAGAAAAATAAATGCAGTAGGAAAATTGTCACCAATTTCTGGTTTTCATCAGAATTGCTTCTAGAACTATTTAAAAATACCATTCCATACTGGGTGCTTATGGCTCATGAAATTAATCCTAGCTACACAGGAGACTGAGACCTGGAGGATAGCAGCACAAAGCCAATCTAGCCAGAAAAGTCTGCTAGAATCCATCTCCAACTAACCAGCAAAAATGCCACATGAGATGTGGCTCAAGTGATACGTGTTAGTCATGAGCAACCCCCCCCCACAAAAGTGCAAAGTCCTGAATTCAAGTCCTAGTACCAGCACATACTCATACATGCACATGCACACACAAGAGACAGACAGACAGACAAGACACTTGGGGGGCGGGGGGAGGTAGAGAAGGGGGTGCCAGATAAAAGCTTAAAATCATGCAGAAATCTTCAAGGCATGCATGACCTGGCGCCTTATTACTTCTCTGACTTTATTTCATTTCTTCTATTTTTCTCCTAATTACTCAAGAGGTAGAGTTTAGGAGGATCCTAATTTGAAGCGAGCCCAGACAAAAAAAAAAGTTCATGAGACCCTCATCTCAATTAATAAAAAAATGGGTGGGTGTGGTGGTGCATGTCTATGATCTGAACTATATGGGAAGTGTGAATAGGAGTATCATGTTCTAACCAGCCTGGACATAAAAGTAAAATCTTATTTGAAAAGTTAAGGAAAGTAAAAGGCCTGGGAATATAGGCCAAGGTGTCAATCATCTGCCTAGCCCTGAATTTAAACCCTAGTAAGTCAAATAAGTATACCCAGCTGGTATCTGCTTACACGCAGGAAGGCAGAAAGGGATGTGCTTTAGAGACTCGGGGAAGCCTTGTCTTCTTGAGCCTGCATCTCCCTGACTTGATTAATGTGAATGGTGGCAGACAACTGTTACTACAGTGTGTTATTTCCTCCTAAGTCTAAGAAGCATTGTTACACTTGAAGTGACAAAACATCACATTTACTAAGTGAGTTGCAATTTGTCACAACATCTTTGCATTCTCACCTTAGGATTGAAAGAACTCTAAAATGCAAAATGATGGAATGGCGTCCTAAATACCCAACACGTTGGAACCGACAATGTATTTCTATTTTGCGCCAAATCCTTCCAAAGTTGGAACTTGGCACAGGAAGTTTTGTTGCATCTGAAAAAGAGAGTGAATTTGAAAGATTGCTGCAATTTTATTGGGTTTGTATTTGATTAATATATTTTTTTAAAATATGAGACCAGCACTCAAGCCCAGTAGCTGACATTTGCTTTCGCTCACTGGCTGCCATTCTATGATCTGAGCCACGCCGCCAACCACATGATTGATATATTAATAACATTTGTTTTTATCAGTGTTGTAAATTGGTAACTGAGAGCAATCTAAAACATCTCTGAAATCTTTTTCTCTTGATTCTGGAGGATAGATTCTTTAGCATTAATCTTCATTTACTTATAGGTCAAATACTTGCACGTGTAGCAAGCAGCTATCTATGATCAGGACCACATTACATGACATTTTCTTGGAACCAATTGTATGTTCTATGATGTATGAGCTACAGACTTTGGAAAGAGATGGAGATGCCTAGAAGGAAACCAACCTGCAATGGAAAAAAATGAAAAATGGTCTCTAGAAATAGATTGGATTCTCTGTTCTTGGTTCTGGGCAAGAAGTGCCCAGGCAGGATCCAAAACTTCCATATGCTAATAACTCTCAATTTGTACATTTGACACCACTCTCTTATCTCCCCTCTGATAGTCAACAGCCCAGTGACATCTTGGATAATAAAAAGCATCTCAAATTCAGCAAGGCCATAAACAAATATGGTGGGCAGTTGATATTTTGTTAGGTTCTTCCTTTTTTTCTCCTATCACACCCCAAATACCAAGCATCATTTTTAACTCTCATTCCCTAGTAACTGTGCCAGTGCAGTTTTAAAAACGAAGTCAGCTTTCCAAGAGTGAGACTCCTCTCCACTGTCCAGTAGGATAGCCGTCTCCTAGCGGAGCTCTCTGAGAAGAGGAGATTAGGGTTCTGTTGGGAGTTCAGTGCTTTCATTACCATGGAAGAATCTGAAGACACCATTTATTTATTTTTGGGGGGAGGGAGAGGGGCCGGTCGTGGGGCCTGAACTCTGGGTCTGGGCGCTGTCCCTCAGCTCTTCAGCTCAAGGCTAGCGTTCTACCACTTGAGCCACAGCTCCACTTCTGGCTTTTTTCTTTTTGCTTATGTGGTGCTGAGGAATCGAACCCAGGGCCTCATGCATGCAAGGCAAGCGCTCTACCACTGAGCCACCTTCCCAGCCCTGAAGACACCATTTATAAATAAAGAAGAAGTTGCTTTTTTATTTTGGTTTTGTTTGTTAATAGAATCTTGGGGTAGACAGATAAGAAAAACAAATATAAGTCAAGGTGTTGAATATGGAGGTCCTATGTAAAGTTATCTGACTATTAATACATAATTGACAATAATAAACCTAGACTGAGTCCTGTAGCCTGTGTTCAAATCCTGCTTTAACTAATCAATAGCTTTGACCTGGGGTAAGTTATCCAACTGCTGTATACCTTCTATTTCACTGAATAACAAGGATAAAATAGTGATCTATTTTGTGATTGTGGTGAGGATTAGGTGAGTTAATACTGCAGTCTAGTCTGTGCTTACTATTGTTTTCACTCTGTGCTCCAGGCATTGTGCCAGGTACTGGAGTTAAGACAGTAAACAAGATGAGACAATCTCATGAATTCACAGAGATGATGAGATAGTGAGATCAGAAAACTGTTATTTTTTTGTTGTTGTTGGTCGTAGGGCTTGAACTCTGGACTTGGGCACTGTCCCTGCACTCTTCAGTGCAAGGCGAGTGCTCTACCACTGAGCCACTGTGTCACTTCTGGATTTCTAGTGGTTTATTGGAGGTAAGAGTCTCACAGAGTTTCCTGCCTGGGCTTGGCTTTGAACTGTGATCCTCAGATCTCAGGCTTGTGGGTAGCTAGGATTACAGGCGTAAGCCACCGGCGCCCGGCTATTATAAAGTATTTTTAAGTAAGCTAGAGAAAGGATAGCACAGTCCTCAAAGGATAGTACAGAACATGTACACACATTTAGGAATCAGAAAATCCTCCTTAATATAAATAAGCTAAAGTTTACAAAAGGCTTATGACTGTTGTCGGTGTATTACTAAATCATTTTCCACATTGTTAATGTTCCACAGTCCCTTAATCCAATCATATAACAGTTGTTTAATAAATATAAACCAGATTATTAAGAGCTTAATTCATAGGGTTGTTTGAAGATTATGTGTGTATGTGAACATATAGCGATCTATCCAGAACATTACCAACATCCACAAAAGTAATTGTTTTAGGACTACCATTTCTTTAAGGCTCTTTGTGATCTTTTTGCATGTAGCAGTTCCAGAGTATTTCAAGATTGTAAGGTGGCTTTATGTGTTGTCTGTTCTTGATCCAGGTCACCGGATTTCCCATACAGATGCCCTACACTGATACACAGTCAATTATTGATGCTGTGTATCAAACTGGAATTCACTCTTCTGAATTTCCCCAGACAGAATTTGCCTTAGCTGTGTACATTCACCCATACCCAAACAACATATTATCTGTGTGGGTCTATTTGGCTTCCTTAGCCCGACATCAGTGAAGAGGAAGAAAAGACTGTATGTGCTACAGGCCGCTAGAACAGAAGCTTATCCTCAAGTCCATCAAGAGCTGGGCCCAGGCTCAGAGGATGAGTCTAGATGACAACTCTTAAGAGGAACCCTTCAGGCATTCTGGCTGTTTAATGTCTTTAGCTACAAGTCTTACTTTGGAAAAGCAGCACATCTGGCCTGTCCCACTAAGGCTACTTAGTGATTGTCAAATTGTGGACCTCACGCTACCTCCATCAAGAAAATCTGCAGAGTGCTACCAAGAATGCCGAGTCCCCAACGCCACCCAGGACCTGAAGCACAATCCAAAACCTGCATCATTTCCAACATGTCCTCAATGTTCTGATGTGCTGTTGAGTAAGAATCCAGCCTAACAAATGTTGTCATTACCAGTGAGGCTGGTGTTAGGCCTCTGGCCCTTTGCTCTTCCTTGGTACACACAGGGCCCCTTCCCTAGAAGTCCCCACCCTGTGTTAGTAACCCAGGTAGCTGATACATCCCTGTGGCCATACCTCCTCCACATGCTCTCCCTACATAAGTCAATCTCCATCATTAGTTCCCTTCTTTGTTTCCCTTCCTTCCTTCCTTTTTCCTTTCCCCCATTTTCTCCTACCCCTTTCCCTTCCCCTGCATCGCTTGCATGCCCTGCACACTCCATCTGGTGCAGGCCAACAAGAAGTATGCTCCCCTTCCCCCTCCCCCCAATAAACTTCTCTGCCTGAACCACATGGCGGTCTCCTTCTGGCGAACCTTACAACTGGTAAACCTACATGTGACATAGGTTCCGGTTCAGTTTCAGTTCAGGGTTACTCAACTGGAGACCTAAAGTTAGTGTATCTCCTAAGAGAAGGCCATTCCACCAGTAATATTTCACTAGAAAACAAGGAATATCTACTGTGGTGGTTGATGGCTGAGGTCAGCTTACTTAAAATAGACTGACCAGAAATCCTTAGTGCCCTTCATACTTGGAAGGAATCCCCAGGAAATTCTATCTAATCTCTCCTGGCTGTGGGGAGTGGAGGAAATGGTCTTAAAAATCTCCCTTTTGGGGCTGGGAAGGTGGCTCAGTGATAGAGTGCTTGCCTTGTATGCATGAGGCCCTGGGTTCAATTCCTCAGCACCACATAAGCAGAAAAAGTCAGAAGTGGTGCTGTGACCCAAGTGGTAGAGTGCTCACCTTGCGTTGAAGAGCTGAGGAAGTGCCCAGAGTTCAGGCCCCACGACTACCCCCCCAAAAAAAAATCTCCCTTTTTCCATAGTGAGCAGCCTTCATAACTTTCCCTGCCACTTTTCTGCTGTCTTCATTTTCCAACAGTTGTTCAATTAACCTCATTAGATCTTAGGAGCCGCTCAAAGAGTGGAATAAAAGCAATACCTCTCTTCTATTTAGTTGTTCTGTGAGTATTTACACAATTTATTTGAGTGTGATATTACAAAGTATTTTTTTAATATCATCAAAGTTTTATGTGAGGTAAAGGTGAAAGATAAATCCACTGCTCCCATTGCTAGAGAACTGGACCATCTTAGCTCACTCTTATAGAGAGCAAAGAAACCCAAATTTATCCACAGGGAGCCCTCCCCTCCAGCATAAATGGGAATATGGGTAAAAATCTTGATTGTGTATGTCTTCTTCTGTCATGCATATGAAAATTGACGAGGATTTTTGTTTTTAGTTGAATATTTGTATTTAAATGTTGTGGGAGCTGTTATTAAACAAGTTTTCCACTTAGACTGAGGTTACACAGAATGGTGCTTATGGAAAGATGTGGTTGCCAAAGAATTCCTCATTTCTATGGAACTTTGAAAGCTTACATGGCTTTTGCATTGGTTGATTATGGTTTTAGAATTGAAAGGCAACTTTTAAGAGTGGCAGTCACTGGCAAGCATGAAGGATTGCTCTTTATTATATGCCTTTTTTTTACAAGTGTATCTATTACTTTTCAATTACTTTTCCTGAAAATTGTGCAATTTTGTGTGACATTTTTCCATTCAAATTTAAAATATGATTTTATGTTTGTTGGTTTTTTTTTTTTTGTTGGTCGTGGGGCTCAACTCTGGGCCTGGGCGCTGTCCCTCAGCTCTTCAGCTCAAGGCGAGCACTCTACCACTTGAGCTACAGTGCCACTTCCGGTTTTCTGGTGGTTTATTGGAGATAGGAGTCTCACGGTCTCTCCTGCCTGGGCTGGCTTTGAACCGCGATCCTCAGATCTCAGCCTCCTGAGTAGCTAGGATTACAGGCGTGAGCCACCAGCGCCCAGCTTTAAAATATGATTTTAAATGGAATGTATATTAAAAAAATTTTAAGACACTACACAAAAATAATTACAGACTATCCATTGGTGCCAAACACTTCAGTATGGAAAAAAGTAAGAAGACAAAGTACCTACTGAAGTAAAGCTGACAGTCTTCAGGGAAATACACTGTAGCAAAGAAACCAAAAGTATGAGAGAAAACTAGGTATGATTGATGGGAATCTTCCTTTCACCTGCTTGATCTTTCACAGTGATGAATGCCATAAAAGATTCAAATGGGATAGTAGAGGACCCAGAGAAGAAGGAGTGATCAGGAAACACTATCTCTAATGAGACAGTGTTTGAGCTTTTAAAAAACTGATTTATTATTTAGAACCGCATTCGATTACTGCATAACAGCAATATCTATCCAGATGAGGCATGTGGGTCTAGTGCAGTGATTAGCTTGTTTGCTGTCCTAAGTGCACTGGTTTTTACCCAACTTTCTGAATGAAGTACGTCTGAAGAGGCCTCTGTCTCCTCACTTAGTAGCTCTCAAGGGTCCTGCAAGTGTAGGAATCCCTCAAAGAGCTTGTAGATACAGATTTCTGGGTCCCACTCCCAGAGTTTCTGATTTAATGGGTCTGAATTGGAGCCCAATAAGGTGCATTTTTAAGTTCCCAGGTGATGTTGAGACTGCTGATGTAGAGAGAACCATGACTCTAGCCTCACCACCATTTTCATAACCATAAAATGCAGAAAAGGAAAGGGAAAATAGAAGGTGCCTGCTGTTTGGTTTGGTTTGCAATACAATTGAACCAGAGCCTTATGCTTGCAAGGCCAGCATTTTACCTCTAAAGCTATACCCCCTGTCCTTTTGTTTTGAGCTTATTTTTCAGGTATGGTCTTACACTTTTCCCCAAGTGGGCCTTGAATCACAACCCTTCTGGTTGTGGCTAGGATTAGAGGCATTACCACTACACCATACCAGACTACTACTACTTCTTCTTCTATTTCCTCCTCCTCCTCCTCCTCCTCCTTTCTTCTCGTTACCACCAGGGTATTTTTTTTTCTTTTCTTCTTTCTTTCTTAAACAACCTTTTCGGGAAGCCACACCCAGTAACTTCCACTTATATCCCACCAAAGAGAACTGCATCACTCCAGACCACAGGGAAGCTGGGAGATCAAGTGTTTAAGAGGATATCGTTCTCCTAAATAAAAGCAATGTTGAGTTGGTGAAGAGGAATGGGGAAGTAGTTGTTGGGTAGGCAAGCCTCAGCGTCTGTCCCAGAGGAGACAAAGCCAGGCACAAAGAACCTGTGGCAAAAGCATTTAAGGCAGAGAAAACCAGGATTACAGAAGCTTTTAATCCAGAGAGAGATTAAAAATGTCAGGAGCAGGTTGCCGGTGGCTCACGCCTGTAATCCTAGCTACTGAGGAGGCTGAGATCTGAGGATAATGGTTCAAAGCCAGCCTGGGCAGGAAAGTCTGTGAAACTCTTATCTCCAATAAACTCAAGGGGTAAAGCACTCACCTTGAGCTGAAGAGCTGAGGGACAGTGCCCAGGCCCAGAGTTCAAGCCCCATGACCAAAAAAAAAAAAAGTTGTCAGGTAATTCATCATCTTAGTGTTGACCATCTTACTATCTTTCCCATAGAGCTGTCCTTCATATGCTGAGTAATTTTGGATTGGATCCTAAGTAATTTGAATATGAGAAATACTATAGACCTTGGAGACTGGACGGACCTAATGCAGGATCCTTAGGTCACTGAGAGTGTCCTGTAGGGGTAGAATGTAGGTTGTTTGCTCTGTGTCCTGATTTGGTGTGTGTCCTTTAGCTCCTACAGGGAGGGAAGAAGCAAGGGAGGGAGGGATGGAAGGAGGAAAGGGACAGCCATTCATTACTTTTACCAGATGACAAATCAGCCCCCCTCCCCAAGTCTGGACTTTGAACTTCCAAAACCTTGAGTTAAATATTCGTCTCTTTATTTTATAATTAGCCTAGGTCAGATGTTTTGTCAAAATAAAGATGAAAAATGGGTAATGTAGTGGCCAGCCGGAGATTTGGGGAGACTCAGATTTTTTGTTTTTTTTTTTAAGAGTGAATTTATCCACAAGATAAATTCCACGATAAATAAATAAAAGATTTCTTTCAAAAACTCCTCCCTTTCCACAGCCGTCCAGTGCTTTTCAGTTCCCTGGCTTCCCCCCCCCCTTTTTTTTGTTTGCCAGCCACCAAGCTGGGCCTGTAGTTCTAACTCTGTGCCACACACTTCACTATTGTACTGCTCTCCAGAATGGAGTGGCAGGACAGAGAGGAAAGCACCCACAGCTGCTCAGACCAGATAGGAAACTCCTCTCCCTCAGTATTTAAGGGCCTGCACCACCCAGCTCACCCAGTTCCTTCCTTACTGTGTGTATAATGCAGGATGGCCTGGAGGTTTGAGCAGGAGGAGGAATGGAGGAGGAAGAGTGAAGGGAGGAAAGGAGAAAGGACAAACGGGTATTGTTTTACTCTTCTTGAGCAGAAGGCTGCTTTCTACTTCCTCATAACCTAAGGGATTTTCCTATTACCCTGCTTCTGTCCTGGTGGCCATTTCTGGATTTCAAGCAAAATCCAAGCTGGAGGCTCCTGGAAGAAGAATGGGTAGGTAACTCATTGCTAGTTTAGTGATACATCAAATGATCAAATTATGGCCTTCCTCAGCTGCATGCTACTATTTGTTTTTTCAGTGTCTTTAAATAGCTGCTTCATGAAGCCTGTCCTTTTTGCTTTTCTTTTTTTAAAAGATGATCTTACTAGATAGTCTCAGACTCCTGAGTTCTGATATTAATTACAGGCATGAGCCAACATACCCAGTTCTGTCCAGGTGTAGAGGGGGGAAGAGACAGACTGAAGTCTGGTTAATCCATTGTAGTAGTGTTCCAGAGGAAAAACAGAACTTATAGGATGTGTATGTACCCATGTCTACATAAATACACATGTATGTAAGTATTCATGCGTATATAGACAACAGATACAGATATGTAGATATAAAATGAAAAAAATTACAGAGGCTAAGAAGTCTACGATCTTCTCTCAGCAAGCTGGCAGTTAGAAAAGACAACTTAACGGTTCCAGTCTGAAAACTGGCAGGCTTATGATGAAAAAAAAAAAAAATCCCTGTTTGCATTTCAAAGAAAGACCCATGTCCCACTCAAAGAAGTTAGGCAATAGGGAGTCCTATTTACTTGGGACTTACTTTTGATTCTACCCTTTAAGTAGATGAGAACCACTCACACAAGGGAGAACAATCTTCTTAATTATCTACCAACCTTATAAATTTTTTTTTAAAAGGTCCTCATATAAATACCCAGAATAATGTTTGACCAAGGTATCTGGGTATCCTGTGGCCTACTAGTCAAGTAAACACAAGAAATAAAGACCTTGTCCATTTTATGAAGAAGTAAAATCTCTATTATTTTGTAATGCCTTCTGGTAACTAATTACCTATATATTCTGGTCTCTAGTCTTGAAAATAATCTAAGAAATTGTCCTTAACATTATAAGCCATACTAAAATAGTTTGAAAGTGTGAAAGTGTGATATAGGAACTCTGACTGCATCAGGTATTATAAGACTTTTTACAACTTACTCCAGCTGCTAGATATCAAATATTTTGGAGACAGGTGAGGGCCATGAGGCCACTTGCTAGGATTCACGAGCCCAAGTGTGAGATAATGGTGTCATAGGCAAGGATGTTGATAGTAGATGATTACAGTAGTTGCAGTGAGTTAACTAGTACAGCAGTTACATATTCAAACAAATAGTATAAATACCAAGCTAAGAAACACAGCCCAGGGCTTCTAGCTCACATGCTTTACACCTAGTATAATTTGACACAACCATTGACAAGAATTCTTTTGTGGAATATTCACTGGAACACATTTTATGACAAAAACAAGATACACAACATAGCAGTACTATGCTATGATTTGTGCACAAAATGGGGCAAGATGATTATATACATAAATGACTGTGAAGACCTGGATATAGACTGAAGTTTACAAAAAAAAAAGTAAAAGTACTGGTGCCTATGGGCACTATATCTTTGTCTGCTTGAATGTTTTACCTTTTGCATGCATCCACAAAAAGAATTTAAACAATTTAAACACAATGGCTTCCTACTAGCAAACATTCACCGGGTTGCAAAACCTTCTAGAGAATCCGGTGTCCTCTTTGCCAAACCCCGTCGGGCCTTATGCTGTGGACTCTGTAATGTACATTCTCTACTTTTATGGAGGTGTTCTGCCTTTTTCTCTTCTATGCTTTTATACTGTTGCTGATTACGTCTATCTATATTTGGAATGTTTTCCTATCACTTCTTCACACCAGATATAAATTATCTCCCATTTTCCTTTGAAACGTACTTTTTCCTTAGTCTTTGCAGTTGCTACCCACTCTGTCCAGAATGCCCAACCAACGGATACCTATCTGCTCACAGCCTACTCTCAAGCCTTTGCATGACTCTTCTTGTCAAAAAATTCTTCTGACAATCACTCTCTGGACTCTTTTGGTTTCTTTTTCTTGATGGTATTTGCCACCACATGATATGGGTTTTGTTCATTATTTTTCTCTTTTTGTAGAATTTAAACACTATCAAGCAGAGACGATTTTATTTAGGAATTAAGTAAATGCCTTGTATCCAGCTTGCTCTAAAGGCATGAAGAATAGCAAAAATAATAGAGTTGCACTTTTAGGATTGAATAATCAAACACACTGGGGACAACATATGCAGAGATTAAAAGTAATCGAAGTCTTATCTGACAAAGCCAGAAAATGATTTCTGAACAAATATCTCTTAAGTGAACAACAGCTTCAAAAGAGAAATCATAATAAACAACTTATTATGATGATTATAGTCTGTAACCCACTTTTCTGAAAGGGTTCTTAAGTAAGCCTTGGACTTTTAAGTAATTTGGAAGCCAAGTTGTCATAAATTTCTTAGTGGTCATGGATTGGAGACTGAAGACACAAGTACTCTTTTTTTTTTTGTCGCTCGTGGGGCTTGAACTCTAGGTTTGGGCGCTGTCCCTCAGCTCTTCAGCTCAAAGCTAGCACTTTACCACTTGAGCCACAGCACCACTTCCGGTTTTCTACGGGATTATTGGAGTCTCACAGAGTTTATTGCCAGGGTTGGCTTTGAACCGCCATCCTCAGATCTCAGCCTCCGGAGTAGCTAGGATTACAGGCACGAGGCACAGGTGCCCGGCTGCAAGTACTCTTTAATGCCATAATAATGTCATTTCCTTTCCAGGAACTCTGCAGCTGATAAAGACTAGGTCAGCCTCCATACTGGGTTAGGCTGGGCTTTGCCAACTTTTGTTTTTTTCACATCTATTACCATGAGTTCTAGTAGCCCAGCTGTCTTGTACATAAGAATGCTTATAGATGGCAGATGCCATTGTGATAAACCCTAGATTCGTATCATGTGCATTCATCATTTTGTAGGAGCTCTTTAACATTCTTTCTGGACAAAAAGTGATACAGATAAGGGTCCCACAATTTATATTTTTATCATTAAAGAGGCTGAGCTACACTCTCAGAAAAAACCGGAGTCACTGCCCTCAGCTGACCATTTGTTTTGGGATAATCCACCAAACCATCTAAAATAAAATTGATTAGGTTTCTGCTAATCACATTTCAACTACAAGATCACCTTAATTGATGTAGTGTTTTCAGTTCTATAGTTTCCTGAGTTACCACCCCAGATGGTTAATTACATCCACTAGGAATCTGACAAGCTAGGACACCAAAAACAATTTTAATTCCCTCTAGGCAGAGCTCTTGAGAATCTATAAAGCGAAAAAAATGAGATTCATGAGGTCTGTAGAAGAGTAGGATCTGAGGTGAAACTTGGGCAGAATTTCACGAGTCTTTGGGACTGCGGAAACAGCTAAAGCCTATTTGGAAGTCCTGGCCATCCCACAGAGCAGAACCTAGGAAAGTGTGGGGTTGTTGAAATGTTTGAATAATGCAGATCGAATCCATGCTTGTGAAGGGTTTTACCAGCAAGGCCTCTGCAGGCTCCAAGGAGCCATCCAAGTTCCACAGCAGGTGAGTGGCCCGCTCAGATCTAGTGATCAATGTTGTTACACTTTCCTCGTGCTCTCTCCCGACCTTGGCCGACCCGCAAGCCGGCGACGCGGTAGGTGCGGGCCAGGCCCCCCGCGGCCAGAGCACCAGGCACCAAGCCGCGGTGGGGAGGGGTGGGGGGGAATGCAGCCAGGGCCCCAGACTGGGGCCGCCGAGCCCCGAGCAGCCACCCGGCGCCGCACCTGGACTCGGCCCGGCCGCCGATTGGACGGCCCGAGGCGACCCCGCTGTATCGCGAGACGAGATTGGCAGCGCCGGGCAGCATGTGTCCCCGCGCTGGCTTTGTACGCCGAGCCGCCTGCCGGTCCTTTAACAATGGGCGGCGCGAGCGCCCCGGCGCTGGGCCCGAGCTGAGGCCCGGGCTTCGCGGCCGACTGTCCGCAGCATGAGCGGGGCCGGCGCTCCCCGCAC